TGCAAAAAATATGGCAAACATTTGAAATACAAAGTTTTGGAGAGTATCATGACCTTTATCTCGAAACTGATGTAGTTTTACTTGCAGATGTTTTCATGAACTACACTATCATATGCTTAAAAGATGACAGCTTAGATCTTTCTCATTATGTATCTGCACCAGAAATGTTTAATGATTCCTTATACAAAAGTAGTAGTGCCGAACTTAAGCTCATGACAGATATGGATGAGTACTTAATGGTTGAGAAGGGTATTCATGGAGGAATGACAATGGCAAGTCACCAATATGCCAAAATGAATAATTCTCAATATCCTGACTATAATCCAAGCAAACCAACATCTTGGACCATGTATGAGAACATGAACACCTTATATTCAGGTGCAATGACGCAATATATGCCTACAGAGATAATAGGCAAGGTAGGTCCAGAAGAGATACCAGATATTCAAACTATTGTGCCAAATGCAGAAATAGGCTATATGCCCGAAGTAAACTTAGAAGTTCTGACACACTTACATGACTTCTTTGTAGACTACCCTCTAGCACCAGAAAAGCAAATAGTACTTGAAAACTGGTTAAGTTCATATAACGCAAAATTAGTACAAGACAAAAAAGTGGGAGGTGAAAAATATGTAACAGAAGAAAAGCTCGTCCAAACCCTTTATCTCAAAAAGAACTACATGGTCCATTATCATGCACTCCAGCTATATATGAGACAAGAGCTAAAGGTCACAAAGATCTACAGCGCACTCAAGTTTAAGCAATCCCCCTGGATGAAAGAATATATTGAGAAAAATATTCATAAATGCAAAATAGCAAAAGCCAATGGTGATGAGTTCGGGGTCATGTATTATAAGCTAAAAAATAATGCTGTCTTTGGTAAACAGATAGAGAATGTCTGTAAACATATAAGAGTAGAGCTTTTCCGAACAAAAAAAGATAAAAAAATTAGATGATTAGCAAGTTCGCCATTATTTGTAGGTTTCAAACAATTCGAAGAAAAAATTACAGCCATCCATATGTTAAAAGGTGCCATAACTCTAAACAAGCCAATCTATATAGAACAGGCCATTCTTGACATTAGCAAAGCTATGATGTTTAACTTTTGGTACGGTTATATAAAGCCTCGCTACAGAGAAAAGGCCCGCCTACTTTACACAGATACAGACTCACTTATCATGATTATAGAAACTGAGAATATTTATAAGGATTATGCAGAGAGACCAGATATCTTCGATCTCAACAAC